ACACTCGTTGAACAGTAGTATAAAGTGACATTTCCTACTAAATGTCACTTTAAACAAGTGTTCAACGAGTGAATAACTTTTAATTAGTAAGGGGGAAGGTAAGTAACAAGGACAGGACAATGAATACAATTTGGCGTCAATATTACTTCATTTCTAAGCAGTTTTTCTGCCTGGGAGTGTATGTAAAAGATCTTATGGATGTTTAATTAGGGAGATAAGTAATTTGATCCCTTCGCAAAGGATAAGTAACGAAATATTTATTGTGTTATGTCTTTCAGATGGAGAGATATTTCTCTGTTCTTTGTCTTTTTTACTGATCAAGGTAATTACTAGTACCTATTTCAGAATAAAAGGCGTTATCTGTGTCCATTCCTCGCAAAGGTAATATAAATAAACGTAGCGCGAGCAGATGCTCCATCTAAAATGACAATAGCAGGTTGTTTCACAAGCAAACAAACAATGGCATAATAAAAAATGTCCTAACATGAAGGGCCCGTATCCGTGGATTACGCAATTTATTGTCGTGCGAATGTCAGGACCGAACAATATCTCTAGCTTTTCAACGCGAGCGATAGGGACGTCAACCTAGAGCGGATATATCTTTCATGGGGAATTATCAAAATGTCCGAGAGATAACAGGCGGTCAACATTTGCCCCTCAATAGGCAGCATGACAAATGACGTCCTGCGTGACTCCGCGAAACTAACGAAATAGATGTTCTTCCCCCAGGGGGACAGACGCGCACGTTGCCTCGTCCTATATCCCACGTATATGTCAACTTCGCGAGAGGAGTGTGTTTGTCAGATAGGCGCCTATTGTTTTGTCTCGCTTTGTTACATCAAAAGAATCGCCTACGTACAAGATATATTGAGTTCCAACAATACTTTATTAATACATTTGGATCATTACATCCATCATTTCCTGGAATAAGAAGGTAAGCTCCTTTGAGAGACGGGAATGGATGATGGATAGAATGAGGTAATTTACAATAATTATTACCGCAAAGGTTTCAGAATTATTATTTAAATTGTAGTTTAATTAATTTAACTGGCATTCAATGGTTAACACGAGTATAATTTTGTGTATTTTAATTTCAAAGTAATACAATGCGAAATTTAAGGTAGAGCCCGTAATAACATAAATATTTAGATTTCAAATAACGGACGCAAGAAGGTTTGTTACGACGTGATATCCGTACTTACGAAAATACCATCCTAAAAGAGTAAATGGTTTTCATTTATATGAAAGCCCGCGATAGATATAAGTGTTTACACAAAAGTTTGCTGTGAATTCAACCCGAAAGATTTTTCCAATTTGGCGAGAAAGGCTCCAATGTCGGGGAGGTCACAAAGCGAATAGTAAAAATACATTCCCAAAACGTGACCGTAACTTTCTCTACCCGAGGGAGAAGAGTGGCCGAACATGACATATAAACGAAAATTCCCGGCTAGAAAAATATACCGCCGACGAGTTTTACGCCAATCGCCAATATAAATTTGTCTTTTTAGCGTTTCAAATTTGGGTTTTGACCATTCGAACGCTCTAACGGGGAGCTATGAATCCATGATGCCCGTTTTACGTTTTCTTTATGAGCAGGTCTATTCATAGGTCGCCAGGCTTTCACTGCGAATAGTTGCTGTGAAATTAAAGCGAACCTCATGAAAATTTTAATTTTCAATGAATTCCATATTAATGAATAGTTCTATTGTTTGCACTAGGCTTGCGTGTTCATATTGTAAGTATAATAATCTGTTTTAAGCTCCAGAAGAGGATATTTTTCAAAAAATCTAGTCTAGCATTATTTTATAATAAAACCACGTACCTACATTAAAATGTTATTACATTTACAATGTTATGCAAATCATACGAGTAATTGCTTGTTTTACGTGTATAGTTTTCCATTATCAAGTTTATTATATTTTAATGAGGCTCGTTGGGTGCTTCGTCTGTGCTACTTTAATTTATTACGCAACGGCTTTCATTTATTTTCTCTCTTAGAACTGAACTCAACTTATAAACCTACCTATACTAGATTATACTTAGTTAATAATCAAAATGCTTAGGAATGCCTAAGGCCCGATTCGACCAAACTTTTATCCGAGAATAACTCCAGGTATAACTGGCACATTGACAGTTTCAGTATGGGAAATATGTCAAAATGTCGAATAACTGACGATTTATTCTGAGATTAATATTTAGTCTTGTTTGGTCGAATCCACCCTAAATATTTTATCTCATCGTACTACAGCTTATAAACTAAATAAAACAGTTCCCTCAACCCTTCACTCGCCGTTTTTACAAAGTTTGCTTTAAGGTAAAAGGGTAACCCACATGTCGATATTACCTAAATAAACGTGGTCTCTTTGCGTGTACCCTGTACACGAGTAAAATATTTACGTTTTCATCAATGGCCATCCTTTATATTTACTCTCGGAAATAAACCAGTGCCTTATTTATTATGTAGAGTTCTATTTAAGTGGTTTGTTTACTTTTGAAGACTGAATAGATGAAATAAGCAATCACGTGGCATTACTTTTTGTAACGAATTATTTTATGACGTGGATTGATCGAGTTGAAGATATTTTTATGTACCTATCTAGCCTAGACTGTAATTTAAAATTCCTTGGTGCTTTTTATTAAACTTAAACTCAATTTCAATTAAAAGTAAATACGTTATCCCTTGAGTTATTTAAGATGAAATAGTTAAATGAAATTAACGCTTTATTTAGATAATGTTACGAGTATTTGTGAGAGCACATTTCGTTAATTCAAGGTTAAATAGAAGCACAATTACGAGAAGATATTAGTAATTTCGTGTGGGTTACAAAATTTGAGCTTAAATTAAATTTAGGCTGAACTTTAAAAGCGAATATTGTGTAACGAACACCGTTAATCACGAGTACCTACTTAATATTATACTCGTAAAACAAATTAGATTACATGATTGAAGTCGTTGTTGAACATTTATTTTCTAAAACATGCCTTTTTCGTTTTATAAATCAGAATAGTATTTTGACAAAGTGACCCGGACGCGTAAAGTTCGCCATACATCAAGTTAAATGAATCCCTCATTCGAACAGGGTCGCTATCTCGCGAGATAGGCAGAAAATACAGTGCTTCCTCTCTTTTTCTTTCATTTTGATACGGTCGGTTGGTACCCTTTATCCGTCCCAATTCGACCTTCCTTTAACTCGTTTCCCAGACCACGTTACTTAACGCTATGCTTTTTCCAACTTTTATGTTCGCTTGACGAGGCCGTTCTCTGAGATTTCACCCCCACAATATTTTGCGACCGATAAGTCAAATGGGTTATGTAAACAATCTCAAGAGGTTAAATCATCCAACAATAAAACTCTCCAGTCCTTTCAATTATTTTATTACTATTCTGTATTCTTATAAATCGTTAAGTAACATACTGTTTAATACATCTACATTCTGATAGTTTATTACACAACCCTTTCGTTAACTACTTGCAAAGTGTAACCGTAGATTTACAAAATCATTACTGATGTTTAAATACATAAAATGTATTTGGCGTCCAAGGTAAACAAAAAATAAATAACTTATTTACATCGAAAAATATTTACACGTCTATTTTAATATTTACAGTAACTAAACTCTTCTTATGCCTACAAATTTTAGTTTGATATTAATTTAAATAACTTACTTATACATAAATATTTAAATATTCTAAAGAAAGAAGATAACATTATACAATTCAATTGTCTTTGACAAGGTCATAAATTTTTCTATAGTCTTTTAAGCGAAATTAAACAACGTTGAAAATATAGATCGTGTTTACGAACACTTCTATGAAACAGCCGACCAATCCTATGTTTACCCTTTTATCTTATATGTTTGCTTAGAAACTCATAAATTTGTTTTTGTGTCCTCACTCAGACATGAACACGGAAACAAGGCCGAATGGGACATAAAAACCAAACTAGCCGAGAGGAACGTTTAGTAATGATCCACCAGATTCCTGCAAATGGACTGGAATGATATTATGCTTAGGCTTCCTTAAATTCTTAAAGTTCAGCGATCATTGTAGGTAAGTCGTAAAAGCGACGTACGGACCAGTTAAATTTTCCAAGTAAATATTCAGGGTTTAGGGTGATGAATTTGCGAGATATAGTCGTTTTATTGCCGCCGGTAAAGCCCGCTCGATCACTAAACCGCACTTTGAAGGACCGTGGCACAACCTTGCCAGAAAATTTGGCTCGCGTGCTCAAACACGACTGACTGCTCGCACGGCCAGGCAGCGAGGCGGCGAGTCGCGGATTATCTCATCAACGCTTATACTCTTTTACTTTCCGCAAGCAAAATTCAACCTTACAACAAATAAATCACATTGACACCGAATAAAAAATAAATAATGTGAGGTCAAACGGAGATGATTTATTAGGCAGATTACGCAGCTCAACTCGACGTCGCAAAACTTTGTAAAGAAACGAGGTTTTTCCTTCCCCTGCGTTTCGCTCTGGGAACTGTGAATTCCATTAGATTGATGCGATGTTAACGTAAAGCAAATAATATATTTAAGTGAAGTACTTACTTATCTGCTTTGCTTCGAGGTTGTGTGCTTTATCACGCAGGTGGTAATGGAGGTGAGATGTTGAAAGATATTCGATTTCCACGCAAGATCCGGAGGTATTGGAACCTCACTCGGACGCCGTTGCACTGCCGCTTGGGGAGCTTGTTTGTACAGCTAGATGGAAAGCAAATAATGCGGTAAAGAGAGCAAGTGTAGGCTTAGACACATTACACAAAGGTAAACCTCTTGCACAGATTGAATATTGCTCCAGTCGTATAGTGTAACACTGACGAAATCGATTCGTCCGTAATCTCGGCACGGGATTAAGACGACGGGCGTAGTTAGCTGGAAAAACAAAGAGAAGTCAGTCACGGATAATCTTATAACAGCTTCTTGTAAACTAAATTCCTTTAAGTCGTTTATACTGACATCATCCTAAGATAAAAGGGTAAACAGATGTATTTTCTAGAACATAAACACCTAAAATTGACTGTACATTAATAATTTTGATCACCTTATTTACCTCACAGGAAACATTAGTATCTATCGTCGTTGTATTAAATACATCCATTAACGTAATCCATCGGATTGTTAAACTCATTCAATTACAAACGCTTCTTTTCAATGTACAATTTTTACAAGGATAAAAATGGCCGATAAATTATTGTGTTGAATTTGGTCATCTTGTAGAGAGGAGTGGTGTGGTGATGGTTTCGCTGATGGTGTTGGCGAAGATGATGATGATGAGTAGTGTTAGTAGGGAGATGTATTGTGCTATGAAGGGTAGGGTGATGAGCAGCCAGGGCTTGGGGCGGTTGATGGTTGAGATGGTGGCGACGGTGGCGAGGATGGCCCGGTCGAGGCGCGGCGGCGTTGATCCTGAGCTCTGCATCGCTGCTGGCCTCTCGCCGCTCAGCACGTGGACTATCACTGACGCTGATTCTGCGAAGGACAAGTTAAAATGTTGGTGGATACAAATAAAGTAGATGTAATTAGAAAGGGACATAGATAAAATAGTTTTGTTCACGCTGAAGCGTAAAGAATGAATTCTTTGGCAGATTTTTGAAAATTTTATTTTCAAAAATCTAAAGCAGCTAAAGTTAGTAGTGTTTGTTTATAATATTTAATGTAAAATTGTGTAAACCTCCGTCATCTTAAACACTTCTTTGTATGTACTTCAATTTAGTCAGTACGATTCATTCACACCACTGCAGCACTGTTTCAAATGAAAATCAATGCAGGTTTATACATATTATTTAAACCCTTGTTCCAAGATATTTGAAATATCATTTTCTATAATGTACTAATCAGTTAATATAGATCAAATAACATATTCGTGTAATTTAGTTCAAAATTAACAAAGTTTGCATTTACGTAAAATCAGAAATGTATTAATTTACGAATGAGCCCAGTAATATGATGGTTGTTTATTTCAGTAAATTTAATTTGTACAAAACGCTCGCTAACCAAGCTGCCAAATTTGTAAATGTAAATCATCCAACGTTTTGCATTTAAACTTATTATTGTGCACATTGAATATAGCAGCGTCAGTGTTTCATACTGTTGGTAATTGCGAATGAGATTTGTTATTGTAGCCGATAGTCGTAACGTTGATATATTTATCATTTGCTGACATTAATCGGCTATTAAATTAACGAGATCGTGCTTATTCTTCCTGACAGATGACTATGGTAACAAAGGATAAAATCAAATATGGTTGGGAGATCAAGTTGCAAAACTACAAATGGATAATTTAATATGATAAGTACTATTGTTTGATAATGGTAGAGTATTTGGGATTTCATAAACAGCTTTACATCTGTGTAAACGTTTAAATCAAAATCAGTAAACTGAAAGTTATTATTTACCTAATTATAATTTACCAAACTCATTCAACTCTTAATTGTTTTTATCAGAAATTGGGTTTCACAATTGGGCGGTACCTAACCTACTCAATAAGGGTGGTTGGTTCAACCCGTTATAAAAACTAAACAGCTGCCTGACTTACTTTATTAACGAAAGGTTAAAGCTGTAACTTTAATAAAATCTTTATTTGACCGTACAGTTTTATTGATTTCCACCCACGAACGGAACTAACATTTCACGTGCCGTAAAAAGTGATTTAGTACGATAGCCAATAATTAACATACAATGTTGCTACCATAATCCCCACGCTTGGCAGGCGGGTTGGAGATCGCAGTTTAAAAGATTGATGTTTTTCAGAGAGCGCTGCTGCCCGTTCTCTGTTTGATGTGTGGACCCTAAGTCGCCTCTTACGACACCCGCGGGAAGAGTAGGCGTTGGTGACAAATGTATTCTACTCTGCCATTATAGTGGAGGAGGCTCATAGTCCAGCAGTGGACTGTAAAGGGCTGTTGATGATGATGATGAATGTTGCTACATTTTAAATTGGGTCAAGGAATACGTAATTATTATATTATTACGTTACATTAAAATCTAGGGAATGGTAAAACAAACTCCTTAATTTCAAAATAATTAAACAAAAAAAAACCTTTTATTTTGTAATTGGTAACGTGTCCTTTTTCTAGCCTTGAATTTATATTGTTTTAAGGCGGCACGTGTCTCATTAGGCATGATTAGAAAAACATGTAGATGATCTAGCTAATTCCATGTACTGGCAAGGAATATTAATTAAATTCCTATGAAACGTATGAAACAGTTTTTAACTACAATAATATTATTTAAAAATACTCTTTTTCTCTCATTTTTTTCTTTCTTTCTTTCATGATTTAAATTGTGGTACCACAAACCATGTGTACTTCAATGTGCTCACCAGTGTGCCTACCATGAGTTTACGTTAGGTGAGCTCGCTAGCGAATACTGCGAATACGTCAAAAAATTATATGAAGATTTTATTTCTTGAAAGTAGCCACTAGGGGCGCTGCACAATATGTCATACATTTAAATGTCATTTTTTTACGCAATCGCTAGCGAGCACACCTAACGTAAACTCATGGTAGGCACACAGAACTACTAGGCGCCCATGCGCGTGCGTTTAGCAGCAGACTGGTTTGCGTCCGCTAGGGCTGATGCCGCCGCGCTGCGCGTGATTCACCACTCGCTCTTCTCGGTACCAGTAGCCACAAGTGTGGTTATAAGTACTTACCAGACCTACTAGGCGCGCACGTGTAGTTTCCTGAATCGTGCGGCGCTGCGCGTGCGATCAGTAATCGACTGGTTCGCATTCGTTGCTCCGTCTCCACGCTAATGCCGCCACGCTGCGCGTAGTTCACCACAGTGGCGGCGTAGCATGGGTTGGCACCCGGGGCGATCACCCCCCCGTCCCCCCGTCATAAGTCCTAAGGCACCCCCCAGGATTTTGGGGTTATCTACCGATTCGAAGACAATCGTACTCACCCGAACTACTAGGCGCGCACGTGTAGTTCCCTGAATCGTGCGGCGCTGCGCGTGCGATCAGTAATCGACTGGTTCGCGTTCGCTGCTCCGTCTCCACGCTGATGCCTCCACGCTGCGCGTAGTTCACCACTTGCTCTCCTCGATACCAGTAGATGAAGCTGCAAAGGAAAAATCATTCTCAGAATGAAATAAATATAAAAATGTATTTATTGTCTTTGAACCTTAACTGCACAGGAAGTGGAATCTTACAAAGTACAGCTTCTACAATGGAAAGCGAAAGTTTAAAATCTATAAAAATGGAAATAATCCTTTTGACAGAAAATATGTTCTGATAATAATGAACGTAACGACAGGAGCCTAGAAATACAAAAATATTGGATTATGAGTAAGGTTACTAGGTCCTACCTTTTTTCAGGCTGAAAAATGAATATCATTATTTAAATTTAAATAGTCACAAGGACAAAGGAATATACATATGTAGATGGTACCTATAAGCATTGTAATTACTCGTTTGTTATTGTAAAAGCTTGACGAACTGTTTAATTATTGACGGTAACTAAGTTAACAACTCAGAATTGGTTTCACGTTACACCATGTCAAGTAACAACCCTGATATGTATTGTACACATGATTGGCAATTGTGGTCCAAACACAACACTAATCCGGAGTATGCTATGCAATCGATACAGCTGCATTAATGTTCCGCGAAGTGCTGATCAACGGTAACAGATGTATCCGAATCCTTGTGTAACCCGCATTAGTATTCTACTGCCGTCCTTGGTAATGGCAAGAATGCTTTTAACACGGGCTGCGGCGCTGTATGAACTCCCGAATAATGCAGTGAAATCGAACACTAACTCTATCGCACGTACATTATGAACCGAATTCCGACGGCGTCTGCATGAACCTGCTAAATTCGGAATAGAACCGCAAGCGATTAAATAGCAAATGCCAACACATGGAATTAAAATGTGTTTGCGTCATAATTGCAAAATTACATGCATTTGTATTTATAATTTAATTAAACCGCACGTTTTAAAACACACTCTTTATGAATAAGCAAAATGCTAATTTAGCGTTTGCTGCTAACATAATTAATAATGAGAAGTCTACAAACCATAAGGAAGAAGCTGAATGGATCAAGCACGAACAACAAAGATTTGCCCATATAGAAGAGATGGAATTTGAATCAGTCTCATTTGACACCTTTAAGAACATTATAGATAAATCGCATAACTGGAAAGCTCCTGGCTCTGATCAGATCCACAATTACTGGTATAAAAAATTTACTCATATACAAAAATACCTACACAACTTTATCAATCAGTTTATTACAAACCCTAATAGCATGCCCGCATATATGACAACTGGAATAACTTACATGATACCAAAAGATAAAAATGATGTATTAAATCCGAGTAAATATAGAATAAGAATAAGAATAAGAATAAGAATAAGAATAAGAATAAGAATAAGAATAAGAATAAGAATAAGAATAAGAATAAGAATAAGAATAAGAATAAGAATAAGAAGATTGACATCACAATTGACATTGAATGAAGAATGAGGTTTCCGACTAATTAATATAGTTATCTGTGAATGACGACCACATGCATTGAAGACCGCGTGCTGCCACGCAATAAAAACGTGATTTCATCTTTGGAGTTGGATTTCACCATTTTGATTCCTGATTTTGATTGAAGAAAGTGATTTATAGCCACACACCACAAAGGTCAAGCCAGAGAACAATAAAGTAAAGTAAAGCAGGCCCAAGACGACGCTAAACGGAGTGCTTGGCGTTTTGATTCCCATCCATTGCCTTGGTTTTTCGGCATGAAGTGCAAATAACTTGGTGAGAAAGTTATCCATTTACTGTTTAGTTCGATACATTATTCAGTTTAATAAAGATAAATACTACTTTACTTTCCCTATAGGATGCACTCATGCGCAGGGAGGGCCCCGAGAATGAAAATGGGGAATTGGAATGGGAATGGTGGCAACTTTGTATGAACCCAGCGCTTCATGATCATGGCCTCCGTCCATCATTTCACTGCGGCATACCGGTGCCAGGACGCCCTGATAGGTCTCCTACGCTTGCCGCGCATGACCCGCTGGTAAGTAACCCATCATTGTCAGTCTTTTGCAATTCTATTAAATATTTTCTTAGGTGATGTTTANTGGACTTCACCACTTTGATTCCTGATTTTGATTTTGAAGAAAGTGATTTATAGCTACACACTACAAAGGTCAAGCCAGAGAACAGAATAAATAAAATAAAGCAGGCCCAAGACGACGCTAAACGGAGTGCCCGGCGTTTTGATTTCCACCCATTGCCTTGGTTCTTTGGCATGAAGTGCGAGTAACTTGGTGAGAAAGCTAACCATTTACATAAAGTTTAGTTCGTTACATCGAATTTAATAAAAATAATACTAATTAACTTTCCCCCATAGGATGCACTCATGCGCAGGGAGGGCCCCGAGAATGAAAATGGGGAATAGGAATGGGAATGGTGCAACCTTGGAAGAACCCAGCGCTCTATGATCATGATCACGGCCTCTGTCCATCATTTTACTGCGGCTTACCGGCGCCAGGACGCCCTGATAGGTCTCCTACGCTTGCCGCGCATGACCCGTTGGTAAGTAACCCATCATTGTCAATCTTTTGCAATTCCATTAAATATTTTCTCAGATGATGTTTAAAAGTGAATTTTGTTTTCAGGGCGCGCAGAGGAGGAGGCAGGTCGTTCCAGCACCGGGACGCCGCAAATCTGAATGATCCGCGAAAAGCTGCTGTGCGATGTTTGGGTGTAGCAAATATGTGAGTGCATAGCCTCTTTGGATATCTACTCTGAGCTTGGGCCCATTCCAGTTTGCTGAACAGATACTTAGGCCTCGCACTATCCAGTATGCCAAACAACATGGTGGCCAGGTGCAATCTTCGCCGAGCAGCCATCCTTAACATGTTTGATGAGTTTAGGAATGGAGTGATGTGTGATCTCGGAGGAACAGTGAAACAAAAGCGGGCGCATGCGTTTTGTACCCTTTGAATGAGACGTGACGATCTACCCAGCAGGCACGGGCCATACACTGTGTCACAGTAGTTAAGTTTGCTCAATACTAGTGACTCACATAAAGACATTCTAAGGCTTTCGCTTAAATAGGGCCTCAAGTTGTATAAAATCTTTAAGCGGTAAAAGCAGTTCTTTGTGCACTCGAGTATATGGCTTTCAAACTTTAGGTTTCCGTCTATGACCACTCCCAGGTTTCTTACCTCTGCCACTCTTTCCAAAGGTTCTCCATTTATTCCAACATTGAGTTGTATGGTTTTAAGAGTCTCCAAGCTTTTACGTGTTCCTGTTAGCATGAACTTTGATTTTCTAGGGTTGAGAACAAGGCAATTGGCAACACACCAGTCAAAAATCTTACCTAGTTGGTTGTTAACCTTTATTATTGCATTTTCATGATTAGATGGGGTGAATGATGTATATAGTTGTAGATCATCGGCATATAGGTGGTATTGACAGTCCGTGATGCAGTTGATTATGTCAGCACTGTACAAAATGTACAGTATTGGACCCAATATGGATCCCTGAGGAACTCCGCGAGTTACTGGTTTTTGTTCTGACAATAATGCCAACCCATCCACCCCTTTCAGCTCTACATACTGCTGTCGTTGAGTAAGATAGCTATGGAACCATCGAATGGAGGAGCTATCTAGACCATAATAACGCAGCTTGGAGAGAAGCAAAGGAATATTAATAGAGTCGAACGCGCGCGAGAAGTCCAGCAGCACAAGCATCGAAACCATCCCTCCATCCTGAGCAGCGAGAAGGTCATCAATAACATCCGAAAGAGCAGNTATAATTGTAGATCATCGGCATATAGGTGGTATTGACAGTCCTTGATACAGTTGATTATGTCAGCACTGTACAAAATGTACAGTATTGGACCCAATATGGATCCCTGAGGAACTCCGCGAGTTACTGGTTTTTGTTCTGACAATAATGCCGACCCATCCACCCCTTTCAGCTCCACGTACTGCTGTCTCAGAGAGAGATAGCTATGAAACCATCGTATGGAGGAATCATCAAGACCATAATAACGCAACTTGGAGAGAAGCAGAGGAATATTAATGGAGTCGAAGGCGCGCGAGAAGTCCAGCAGCACCAGCGTCGAAACCAACCCCCCATCCTGAGCAGCCAGAAGGTCATCAACCACATCCGAAAGAGCTGTAGCCGTCCCAAAACCCTTGCGGAATCCCGATTGACGGCGCGGGAGCAGCCCCTGCTCCTCAAGGTATTTAGTTAATTGATCACAAACTATACGCTCGAGGATTTTGGACAAACATGGTAGGATGCTGATAGGCCTCAAGTCCTGAACTGAAGCAGGATGACCAGTTTTTGGTAGTGGCCTTACGACTGCCACCTTCCAACAGTCTGGAAAGATCCCTTGCAGTATAGAACTGTTCACTATGTCGGTGAGTGCTTTGAGTGAGTAAGGCAATGTGAGCATCAGCATATCCAGTGTGATGCCGTCACTTCCCTGAGCATTCGATTTGAGCGCTGTGATGGTTCTTAAGACAACGTCTGAGCTAACAGTATGGAGTGAGAATGATATAAGGTTCCTATGTCTGTGATATTCGTAATAGGTTNGTCCAGCAGCACAAGCATCGAAACCATCCCTCCATCCTGAGCAGCGAGAAGGTCATCAATAACATCCGAAAGAGCAGTGGCCGTCCCATAGCCTTTGCGGAATCCCGATTGACGTCCCGGGAGCAACCCCTGCTCCTCAAGGTATTTAGTTAGTTGATTACAAACTATACGCTCGAGGATCTTGGACAAGCATGGTAGGATGCTGATAGGCCTTAGGTCCCCAACTGAAGCTGGGTGACTAGTCTTTGGTAGTGGCCTTACAACTGCCACCTTCCAACAGTCAGGNGGTGAGGAGGATGTTTAAATCTACGTGTCTTGATCGGGGCATGCAGATCCATCAACCCTAGAATACACCGTCCCAGATTCTCAACCTTAGAGTTCACATCCACAACTCCCTCGAGATTGGACCAATCGATTGCACTGAGATCAGCTTCAAGTTGTTCTGGTATAATATTTTTTAATGGTCTATAAGTAACCCAGCGTGGCCGAACTTTCTCCTTCCGGACC